GTCTCTGTATGCTTTTGTTTGTATGTTTATGTTCGTGTCTGTTTGTCTCTATATGACTGTGTCTGTATGTTTCTGTATGGCGTGTCTGTATGTCTAAGACACACAAAGGGGGTAAGACATTCAAAAGAGGGGATATGAAACACTAAATGGGTTAAGAAATTCAAAAGTGGGGTTACGAGACACACAGGTGAGGACACAATAATTTTTTTGGAAGGGGGTGCAGAGGAGGGGGGGAGCGTGGCATGCGTCTTTGCCTGTGTAGCCAAAAATTCTCGCCCAGGCCCGGAGTCCCTGCAAATTGCAGGGCCGGACTGATAGTGGGCCCTAATGTGCCTTTAACTTATTTTCCAGGCTGTTACAGTCTGAGGGGAATTCAGGAGGGAGGTGCTGGGGGCTGGAGATAGGTATTGGGGGCTGCTGCTGGGCGCAGAAAGGAGCACTGAATCTCCCTTTCCGAATTCCCAGCAGCTTTACGAAATACAAGCCGAGGTCAGGGTAACGGAGAGACAGCGAAAAAGAGAACTAGCCAGAGTCAAGTACACGATAATAATCAGAAGGGCAAACAAGACAGGCAAGGGTTAAAGAGAAACTCAGAGTGGCTTTGTTTGCCAAGGTCAATACCAGAATACAATACTACCGTATTTTTCGCTCCATAAGACGCACCTCACCATAAGACGCACCTAGTTTTTAGAGGAGGAAACCCAGAAAAAAAAAAATATTCTGAACAAACTGTTCCATAGTGTTTCTTACCATGGGACAGTTTGTTCAGAATATTTTTTTTTCTCCCCTGTCCCATAATGATCTATAACCCCCCTTTCCTCTGTCCCATAGTGATTGTTAACCCCTCCTACCCTGTCCCATAGTGATTGTTAACCCCTCCTACCCTGTCCCATAGTGTTCTTTAACCCCTCCTCCCCTTGTCCATTAGTGTTCTGATCCCATAGTGTCCCCCCTCCCATTGTCCCATAGTGCACTTTCCCTCCCATAGTGTCCCCCCCTGCCCTTGTCCCATAGTGTCTCCCCCTCCTTGTCCCATAGTGTCCCCCTCCCTTGTCCCATAGTGTCCCCCCCTCCTTGTCCATAGTGTCTCCTCCCTCCCCCTTGTCCCATAGTGTCTCCTCCCCTCCTTGTCCCATAGTGTCTCCTCCTCCTTGTCCCTTAGTGTCTCCTCCCTCCCCTTGTCCCATAGTGTCTCCTCCTTCTCCCATGGTGTCCCCCACTCAGCACTTCTCCATAGTGTCTCCCCCTCCCCTTGTCCCCATAGTGTCTCCCCCTCCCCTTCTCCCATAGTGTGTCCCTCTCCCATAGTGTCTCCCCTCCCATTGTCCCATA